TTAATTCCTTTTAGCCCAAATTTTATATTGCAACACTAAGACAACATACATATCATACCGTTATATTTTGTCATTTAACCATTTTGGTCATCAATATTAATTCAACACTAAGTTATCTTACGCACATAACCTACTGTTGCCATGTACTTATTGCTGAGTTGCGATTATGTCTTTGTTTATACTATCCAGCTTGCGGTCACAATTTTATCTTCAGTAATCTTAAACAATAGTTCTATTACATTGATGTTAAAAAAGAGTAAAAAAGTAAAAATGAATAACTCGGCCAATTTAAATTGTACAAATTATAGGTATCTAGAAGTCAGTATTTAGTGTATTTAGCGAACAAAAATAACACTGATTCTGAGTTATCTGGAATTTATCAAGCACAGGAAAAAGGTAAGTTAAATTCATGAGAAATTCCCATTTAGAAATTTTGGGCTGATTTAATAAAATGCAATAAATTTGTAATTCACAAATTTCAGTATTCGCTATTACCATCACTGATTCTGATAATATTTTCATTTTATTTTGTTTATTATCTTGTCAAATTTTTTTGGAAAATTATGGAAGTATGTTCATGTTATCATTTATGTAATAACATATTTGAACAACAAAATTGTTTTGTTGCTTGTATTGAAATGTGTAAAATTTTAAACAAAACTTTAGTGCAGTATAAGTTTATATAACAGAAATTTGCGGATATCGTTAAAAAACAGATTATCTTTGATGGCAACGGTAGGACAACTAACTGTTTTCCAATTATGTTTCACTTTTTTATTAATTAATATAAATTGTTATTTGACACATGTAAAGTCAGGTACTTAAACAAAATTCCACGTAAATCAATTCAAATATAAAATAGTTATTAATTACTGAACTTTCGTAAATATAACACAATGACGGTATTAGATTTTGATTCGATACAGAGCAGCTACAAGCCGCATATACGTACTTCGACCTCTTTAGGTCTCCTCAGTACGGTATAGCAACTACTCTGTATCGAACCAAAATATTTTCCCGTCATAGACCATAGTTATTAAAAATAACTATGTACAGACGTAACTACGCCATCTAAGAACAAAAAGAGAAATCATACGATTTCTACCTGGCGAAATCGAATTCAAATATAAGCCACCGTGCTGCCTAAAACTTGCGAAGCAAACAGCTTGATGAATTCCTAATTTCTATTAGGATTTTCAAAGTATACAGATGGTCACAGGTGCTTTAACCTTTTCTAAATCCGGCTTGTTCTACTGGTTGATATCCGTCAAATTTAATTGTTAACCTGTTTGTAATAATTTTTGTAAAGGTTTTGTGAAGTTGTGTAAGAAAAATTGGTCGATAATTTTTTAGGTCTGTGGTCTCCCTTTTTCTGTATCAGTATTGTTTTAGCCGTATTCCATTGTTCGGATATGTTGCCTTGGAATATACATTTATTAAATAGTAATTTTAGATATGTGGTAGCTTCTTCTCCGCCTTTCTTTAACATTTCTGCTAGAATTTTATCGCTTCCAGGAGCTTAATTATTTTTTTACTTCTTATTTATTTTACTGTTCTTTTCTTCGTGGCTTATTTCGGGCATCACTTCTGAGTTGACATTTGTTATCTGCTTCTTCATGTTCTGCTTTGAGGAGTAGGGGGCTCGTTTATGAAATTGTACAGATCGTTGTATAACTTTTCAATTGAGTTTGCAATATCATATTTATTTTTCTAGTTGTCCTTGTTCATTTTTAATGATTATTTTGTTTTTCTTTCCTAATTTCGGTTTGGTGCATTTAAGACTTAGGTTTATCTCTATGATTTATTCTATACGGTCTTTTGATATTTTTTAATGTCCTCTTTTATCTGTTTTCTTATTACTCGATTATGTTCCTTAAATTCTGCAGTGACTCTTTTGTTTTATCTCAGAAGCTATTTTTTTGTTTTAGCATGTTTTGTTATTCTACACTTATTTTAGCTGATAAATATATTAACAAATATTGGAAAAAACACCTGTGATCTAAGAATTAGCAATCTTTTTTTTCTGGAATCAAACACCGTCTATCCGTACAGAGCGATGTATACAATCACCCTTACTATTTAAATATATATACTCTTAGGAAATCTTTCGAATTCGAATGAACGAAGAATGTATCAATAACATAAATTCGCTGACAGTTATGAAGCCCTCCAGGATTTATTGAATATTATCACAGAAGTGAGTTAGAGATAAAGGCTTTCACTGAACAACCAAATGATCTCTACGAAGGAACAGCAAATTAAAAGAATCAGTTTGAATGGTCAATCAATAGAAAGAGTAAAAACATACACCTACCTTGGTACGAACGTTAATGAGAATTGGGACCATTCCCTAGGAATAAAATATAGGATAGAGACAGCAAGATGCTACGATGTTATATCTTAACTAGTGGACTCTCACAGACGCTACCTGCAAGAAAATTTTGAGCCAATTGAGATGTGCCACTCGAACACACTTGCTATTTAAAAAAAATGGTGGTTGATAAGGGGCACTAGGGAATTTAATTTAAAGACATCACTTTGCATAAAAAGTCCTTCCCCTTTCAATACAAATTGACTTCTTCTTCTTCTTTTGGTGCCTATCCTCTGTGGATATTGGCAATCACGTTGGTTCATACAACTTTGTTGACAGCTGCTCTAAATAGGTGTATGGTAGTCATTCCTGCCCACTGTCTGATGTTCTTCAACCACGATATCCTTCTGCGCCCTTGAGATCTTTTGCCTTCTATCTTGCCTTGTAAATTAGTTGAATTAGTTGATACTTCTCATTGCGCATCACATGCCCTAAGTATGTCATCTTTCTGATTTTCACGATACGCATAATTTCCAGATCTTTATTCATACGTTGGATCATGGTGTTGTTTGTAACATGATGGATATAGGAAATTCTGAGCATGCAGCGGTAGCACCACATTTCGAAGGCTTCTAATCGTTTGGATGTTGCATCCGTCAAGGTCCAGGATAAAAGGACTCCATATAAAAGGGTAGAAAATACATAACATCTTAAGACTCGTGCTCTGTTATCAATGTTCAGGTGCATATTACATATAATCTTTCTGAGGCGATTAAAGACAGCTCTCGCCTTTTCTATACGAATCTTATTTCCTGTGAGTGGTCCCATTCCTTATTTAGGCTGCATCCAAGATATGTAATTTTGTCGACTATTTTCAAGGGTTCATTATTAGCTGTGAATTGGTGCTGTATTACGTCGTTTTTACTTACTACAAGAATTTTGGTCTTCTTACAGTTTAATTTCATGTCGTATCTGTCACAGGCTTCCACTACACGGTCTATTAATGTTTGCAGATCCTCCGCATTATCAGCAATCAAAATCGTATCGTCCGCATATCTTAAATTGTTTATGATTTCACCATTGATTTTTATACCTTCTCTTAAACCATCAATAGCTTCCTGAACAGCATTTCCGAGTAAGTATTGAACAATGTCGGTGACAAAATGCAGCCCTGACGTACTCCCTGTTTTATCATGAATTTTTGTGAGGTTTCGTTGTCTACTCGTACAGTTGCCCTTTGCTGTAAGTATAAATTTTTAATTAGGCGTAAATCTTTGTCATCAATACTAGATTCTTTCAGTATCTGAAATAATTTTTGATGTTGCACCTTGTCAAATGCTTTTTCAAAGTCTATAAAGCATGCGTAGACTTCGCAATTTACATCTCGAGCTCTTTGTATCAATACTTGTATGGAAAATAGGGCCTCTCGCGTTCCCAGTCCGCTTCTAAACCCAAACTTATGTTTTATTTAAGTTTTCTATATACTCGTATGCGAGAGTGAATAACATAAATAAGTATTTTGTGGGCATCACTCGTTAAGCAATCTGTATCAAATTCTGTAGTTTTATAGATTTTATTCAGTAGACTTTAGGAGATTGGGTTGGTTGTTTTCAAATATCTCAGCTTTCAATATTTCAGCTTGTATGTTATCAGGACCAGATGTTTTGGTGGTTATTAGTCTTTTTATTGCATATGTTACTTCAACGAGCGTTATTTCTGGTCCTGAACATCCAGAAACACTGACTTCTGACTCTTGCTCTTCCTTGAATAATTCTTCCATTTATTGCCTCATCTATTAAGTATTCTCTCATTTTTGTAGAGCAGATTGTTGTGCTCGTCTAGAATTAAGTTATGATTTCGTGAACCGTTTCTCCATTTAAGTTTTTGATCTTTTATGTATATTAAAAGTGTAATGCTTCTGTTCTAGGGATTATATTTCTATGCATTGATCTTATAGCCATGATTCTTTTGCTTCTTTAATCTTTTTCTTAATGGTTTTGTTTATTTCTTTGTACCTTTCCTCATTCATATTTCTGTATTCTATGTTCTTTATTGTCTTCTGGTTGTTTAAGTTTATTTTTCTACCACTGAACGACAGATATTTTTAATTTAATGCCACATACCATCCACACTTATGTTTTTTTGATTAGTACCTGAAATTACCATGCTGTTTATTTTGTTGTTGATCTCCTCTTTGACTTCGTCTCTTGTGGTTTTATCTTTCAACTTCTGGATGCTCTGGACGTTTTTGTGTGTGTTCATATTGAAGTGTTTTCTTAAATTAAAAAAAAACCTCTTGATTTCTGAGTTTCTGGGGGGCGTCAATTTTTTGTTGAAACACACTGTACATATATAATATAATTAAGAAGAAAAAATATTTCAATATATTATATTAAGAACTGTACAAATTATTTTGAAAAATTTTTTTGGCGATTTTAATAATTCAAAATTTTAAATTTAAAGAGGCGTTAATTTAAATAACCGGATGCATCTACTGTAGATACAATGAATTTCAAAACAAGTACCTATTGTTATCTGTAAAAATTAATGTAAGTTCAATTATCAGGGATTTTCAAATAATTTAAAAATAAATTCCCCGTAATCTTATCAATGATATTACAATAGATAGTAGGCGCATAGACTAATATAAAATTTACCTTCAGTAAAAGTGGTAAGTTAGTGAACACGCAGGAATTTAAGCGGTGCGCATGTCTTGATTGCATGCACATTCTAAGATTGGAGTGGTCCTTAAAACAACCATAAACAAGGTACTCAAAGTTGAGTAAGTCATTCGCCGCTAAGTTTTATTCAACGAATGTTTTAAACGGCAGTGAAAGTTTGTGACTGAAATTATAAACATGGCAGAAATAACGGGACTTCGTGCGATATTAGAACGAAACGGTCAATCACACCTTCTTCAATTCTGGAATAAACTTCGCGATGAAGAACAAGTTGAATTTTTGGAACAACTTAACACAATAAATTTTGGTGAAGTGAATCAACTTTTTAAAAATGCAATGCTCTCCCTTAATGATCAAGGAACAAAGTTGGACAGTAAAATGAAACCAGTGCCAGCCCATACATTTGAATCCGAAGAAGGAATTAATTCAGATATTTTAGCGCAATACAAAAAAATTGGTCTAGAAGAAATCGCAAGTGGTCATGTAGCAGTGCTTCTTATGGCGGGAGGTCAAGGGACGCGGCTCGGTGTCAACTATCCAAAAGGCATGTATTCAGTAGGGCTACCATCCAACAAAACCTTATTTCAAATTCAAGCCGAAAGAATAAGGAAAGTAATTAGTCTTGCAAAACAACAAACAGGACATTCTGGAAAAATAGTGTGGTATATCATGACAAGCGGCCCAACAGACGAAACAACAGCAAAATTTTTAAGAAAACATGACTATTTTGGACTAGATAATAAAGACGTTGTGCTTTTTAAACAAGGTTTGTTACCGTGTTTTGACTTTAACGGTAAGATTTTCCTAGAAAGTAATGGATCTGTAGCTCTTGCTCCGGATGGCAATGGGGGAATTTACAGAGCTCTTCAGAAAAATGGTATCCTAGATGATATGAAGAGACGAGGCATCAAGTATCTTCATGCTCACAGTGTAGACAATATTTTGGTTAAAGTAGCGGATCCTGTGTTCATTGGATATTGTGTGAAAAAAGAAGCAGAATGTGGTGCAAAAGTTGTTAAAAAATCCGGACCAAATGAAGCAATCGGTGTTGTTTGTCAAATTGATGGTAAGTTTCAAGTTGTAGAATATAGTGAGATAACCGAAAAAACTGCAAATTTGCGTGATTCCGAGGGCAACCTTGTATTTAGTTCCGGAAATATTTGCAATCATTTCTTTACAACTGATTTTTTGAATAAAATCGCAAACAATTTCGAGTCGCAGTTAAAACTTCACGTAGCTAAGAAGAAAATTCCACACGTCAATTCAGAAGGTGAAAAAATTAGTCCCACTTCACCCAACGGAATCAAAATTGAGAAATTCGTGTTCGACGTCTTTCAATTTACAAACAATTTTGTCACATGGGAAGTTCCTCGCAGTAGCGAATTCAGTGCTCTTAAAAATGCTGATAACAAAGAAGGCACAGCTGTCGATTGTCCTAGTACGTCTAAGAGAGATCTGCTGCGACTTCATAAAAAGTATATCGAAAATGCGGGCGGAAAAGTAACAAGTAACGAGGTAGAGATATCTCCTCTACTCTCGTACGCAGGAGAAAACTTGGAAATCAGAGTAAAAGGAAAAGTATTTGATAAGACCTCTGTGATATATTCCGATGAGGAGCAGTTAATTATGAATAATAATAACACTATTGATGGACCGATTATTTCTAACGGTAATTCTCATTAATGATAGGTATTTATTTAAATAATTAGACAATACAAAATAATCCATATGCTTTTAATATTTTGCTTATTTTACACAGAAATATAAATAGGATTGACAGGGAGTAACTTATTTAAAACATTAAAAATGTCGAATGATATATATTTTTAATTAATATATTTTTAATTAATTATACTTATTTCCTTTTAAAGCCTTATGATTTAAAAAAAATATATCTTAAAACTTAGGTAAAAAATATGTTTTTATCTGAAATATTTTATTTTTTGGACTTATCATCTATAGCAATCGCAATTCCAAAAATGGCACATAGGCAATTTTTATAGACAATTCGTATTTTTATATTGTTTGTTTCAACGATAACCTAATCAAAATTGATAAATTTGACCTTTAAATTTGTAAGTACGTAAGTTTTAATTAACTTGATAAAGTTGACATAAAAATTATTATATTATATTATTGTTAGTATAGTAAAAACGTAATAATCACTGATATATTGGACTGATAACATATATATATATATATATATATATATATATATATATATATATATACAGCGTGTCTACTTAAGGTGGCAACATATGGAAAACTTTTTTATTATTAATGTTACTAAAAAAAGTTATTCTTCATAAAAAATTCTGTATTATCTTAATCCTAAGAAACAATCATCATATATCAAATTTTATCAATATTACGTCAATTTGTCAATTTTAATACGAGGTATATCAAAAATTATCATTCTTTATATCATTTCTTTATATCTAGAATATCTTCATTTTCCCGCTTTTTTTTTTAATTAAAATTGATAAATCATTTACAGAGATATTTGCAAAAAAGCAGTTTTTTGCACTAATTTATAAATTTTAATAATTTTTTTATTAACAAAATGTTATTAATAAATTTAAACATGAAGGAATTACCGTCTTTGAAATTTTCCCGAAATTTCGCCCCTATCAGTCAAATAGTTTAAAAGTTATTTAATTTATTTATCCCTGAGGCTAAATATTTAAAATATTGAACTTGCTCTATTAATAATGCTAGGCGCAATAAGCAAATCTGATTCGAGGATTCGTTAAGATTTAAACTATCTCAAAAGTTAAATGCATATTGCGGTTTCATCGAAATTATTTACAAAATAAGCTTTTGAAAAAGGGGTATGTTTTTTACTTATAAACAATTCTAATAACTTCTATATTTTACAAGCTACAGTTGTACGTAAAATTATTGGAAAGCTGATAAAAAAACTCACCTAAAAAAACCTATAAATAATAGGAACGAACTAAGTGACTTTTTTTAAAAAAATCATATCTCCTTTGTTTATACACATTAAGAAGTAAAATTTGCACAAATTTTTAATGAAAATCTAAACTTTGTGAGTGAGTTTGAGTTTTTTTACCAGCTATCCAATAGTTGTACGTACAAGTCTGTAGCTTGAAGAATATAAAAGTTATTACAATTGTTTATAAGTAAAAAAAAAATACCCTTTTTGAAACGTTTATTTTGTAAATAATTTCGATGAAAACGCAATATGCATTTAACTTCTGAGATAATTTAAGTCTTGGAGAATACTACGAAATTTGCTTAATGTCTCTAGCATCATTCATAGGGCAAGTTCAATAGTTTAAATAATTATTTCACTAAACTATTTCACCGATCGGGAAATTTCGCACAAATTTAAAAGACGGTAATTCCTCGATGTTTGAATGTATTAATAATATTTTATTTTGTTAATAAAAAAAATTAATAAAGTTTATAAATTAGTGTAAAAAACTGCTATTTTGCAAATATATTCGTAAATTATTTATCAATGTTAATTTAAAGAAAAAGAAAATAAAGATATTTTTGATATAAAAAAATGATATAAATATTGTTTATATACAATATAATGGAAAAAAACTAACTGGATACACAAAAGATTAAATTGTGATCATAAATAATTGTTAAAAAAACGCGTATAGGTATATAAGGTAAAAATAGGAGTACTTTTTCGACTATCTCATCTAGTAACCCCCAGCTATGCCTTAAAAGCTTCAGATATCTGCGAAAAATTTTTCGACCTTTTTTTTAACCAGACTGGGCAACTACCTTTATATTTCACAATATAGAAAATTGTTATTATAAAAACTTAAACTAAAACTAAAACTATACCTTAATCTGCAATTACATCCTTCAAATTAAAAAAAAATTTAGCGAATTTTTCTAAAACTACCTATACATACCTAACATTACTTTTTTATTTATTACAAATATGATAAATCTTCCTTTCCGTTAAAACATTATAAACAAATTTTGACAAAACAATATTCATTAATAATCTAATAAATATTAAAGAGTTATTAATCTTTTAATTAGTTAATATCTGCCTCGTAACATTTTAGCGATGAATTTAAATTTGTAATACCATAATAATTCATTTTGTTGTAATTATTTAAAGAACAATATTAGCTCCCTCAATTCACTAGTCATTCAACATATCAGTTTTCTCTTTCAATACAGGTAAATGTTCTATCAGGAAAGTTATTTATTACTCTTCTTACCATGGCCGGGGTAATACCCCAAACACATTATTTAATGACTCTATCCAAATTAGCAACATATGTTAATGGCCTTTGCAGAAGATACATATTTTCCTATAGGTAACCCCACAAGAAAAAATCGAGTTGCGTCAAATCTGGAGACCATGGAGGAAAAAAACCGATGTATAATTCTTTTATTAAAACTAATTTCAAGCTATTGCATTACATCTAACCTACTTTTACATACTTAATATTAAAATGCGTCGCTAAAATATTACAAAGCAGACATTAAATAATTAAAAGGTTATTACCTCTTCAATGTTCATAAGATTTTCAATGAATTTTGTTTTGTAAAAAGTTAATTATCATTTTTTACCGAAATAGAGAAGTTATTATATTCTTTAATAAATAAATATCATGCTGGGTATCGATAATTTGAGAAAAGTTTGCAAACAAAAAACATAGTTTTAATTTTAAACAACTTTGCATAATAACAATTTTAGATATTGTAAAATATAAAAGAACTTTTCTCTTGAGCAAAATTCACATTTTTTGATATATGTCTTCTAAGATTTATAAAATTTGATACTTGTAGATTGCATCATAGGTTATAGACCATGCAGAATTTTTTATAAAGAATAACTGTTTTTTGTAAAATTAATAGTAACAAAGTTTCCCATATGTTGTCAACTTAAGTAGATAAGCTTTATTTATGTAAATGTATATTAGGCTTTAAATGTCAAACAGTGTAATGACTATATTAGTCAAAACCTGTTTATAGTGAATAGGTCAACCGTAGCAAATATTTCTATCAATCGAATTTTTTATTTTCTGTCCATTGCATTTATGTTTTTACAAATAATTTAGTTATTTCCTCTTGTTTTTCTAAGTTCTACATTTTTGTATTAGATTTTGTTATCTTCATATCTAATATTGTATTTTGATAGTTCTCTTTGGACATTTGTCGATTTAGTTATTTTTTCTACTAAACTTCACCTTCACTTTTATGTTAATCATTTTCTTTTCCATATCAATATTTTTCTTTATTTTATCTACATTTTCCGTAAAAGTACATATTTCTGTCCCATAAGTAAGAATAGGGATTACATATTAGTTAAAAACTTTTGTGTTTAATTATTTTTGACGTATTTTTTGTTTTTAAAGTTATAAATTAACTTACCAAATATCACCTAACTAAATCATTTTGTTTTTTTTTTCTTTTCATGTAGACAGGTTCCCCTCTCTGTATTTCAATGTGCCTCCAATAGTTTGTTGTTTTATCATTTCGTTTTTGTCTTTAACTGATCGTTTTTCTATTGGAAAACGGTCTTTTGCCGTCTTTATTACTTTGTTGTATGGTCATTTCATTCTACTTGTCTCTTTCTTATCCACTCCTCAATGTTTTCTACTTTGCATCTCTGTCGTAGACCTGAACTTCTAGTTCTGTCCCATAGTATATTACCATTAAATTTTCTACACGTTTTCATCTCTGCTTTTTTTTTAGTATTTTTTTAATCTTTCTGTATCTCGTTATATGTTTGCTTAATTTGTCATTATCGGTCCCGCTATTTCATGTGACTTTTCATCGAACTGTCGAACTGTATTTTGAACAATTTCTCGCTCGCTACAGACTATGTTTAATTAATTAATTTTGATTAAAGGGTTGCCTAAAACATATAAAATCAAAAATATTAAATACACTATGATACCAAAGGTGAGAATGTTCTACGATTATCTAGACTTTATTATATGGTTGGTTATATTTGCTGTTTAAGTTTTATGTGCTTCAATCTATAGTACACATCATACCTTTATATCTGTGGCAGGATCTGGTTTGGGTAGTCTTTTAGCTTAGTTAATTTTGTTTTGGCTTTTTCTATCTTTATATCTAGTGTCCTTATTTCTTTTAGGTCCCTTAATAGGAAACGTTATTTGCTTTGAAATGCTGTCGTGTTATTTTGATATTTATGTTCTTCTGTGTCTTTGCAATCGTCTTGTTTTACTTTAATATATTTTAAACCCTACACTAATGCTTGGCTTTAATAGTTCTTTGATCATGACATGCTTCGTGTAGACTGTTTGGTCTTAATGCTTACGTACAGTTTTGGTATAATTTTCCTATTTACTATCTTCTTCTTTTTATGTAGACATGACTCTGTCTGGTATTCAATGTGCCTTCAGTAAGTTGTCGTCCATCGTTTTCTTGGCCTTCCTACTGATCATATTCTTACTGGGAAACCTTCTCTTGTTGTCTTTAACGATGGCTGTTTATCAGACTTAATTTTGTTTGCATAGCTAATTTGCTTCTTCTTCCTGTAAGTCATCTTATTGCGATTCTGGCAGTTGATATTTACTGAACTGTTGCATTAACATGTTGTGTGAATTTTACATCTTGCTTATTGTGACTCCTAGATATTTAGCTTTGTTTTGCCATTCTCTGGGTCTTTCTACGGCTTGAAGACAGTAGCCCTTACCAAAAAATCTCTTAAAAATTAGAAATAACGCAAAGAGCAATGGAACGAATCATGCTTGGAATATCACTAAGAGACAAGGTTAGAAACACCGAGATAAGACGTAGAACGAAGATTAGGGATATTGTGGAAGATATTACAAAAATGAACAACG